ACCCCACCACCCGCCCCCCCCCATGCCCGCCTGTGATGTATGCAGAGGCTGCAACTGCTCCCCCCCATGAGCTGCAGCTCTAGCACCACCCCCACCTCCGGCAGCACCTGCCCCTGCTCCTTCCCCTTACCTCACTGCGAGGGACATTGATCTGCCCCCACCATGCCCCTTCCCACCACACCAGACTTACCAGCCAGAGGCAGCTGTATCAGAAATTGGATTGGTATTGGCCAATATGCCTCCTTAAATATCGGCTATCAGTATCAGCCCCAAAAATCTCTATCAGTGCACCACTAATTTTTGTAGCTGTGGCTTCCAAACACTGAGGACAATCTCAAAAAAGAGTTTGTCAAAAAAAGGGAGGCTCCTGTCTCTTGCACAGTTTTTAGTCATAGCGTGATTAGATTAAAACCTCTATGTGAAATACAATGTTTAACAACATCACTTTGTCTTTTATGATCCTTTTTTTTTTTTTTTTTTTTTTAAATAAACAGAGACAAGAAACTTTTCTGCCTCATCTTCCAAAAGAAACCAGCTTGAGGGTCACAATCATATTTTTGTATTACAAACAAGAACAGGAGGGAAAAGACAGGTTTTTTTTCCAAATGAAAAAATGTTGTTATTATGCCATGCAATGACCAAAGAAATATCACCCTGCACTTCAACTTTATGTAATGCAGGATGTGCCATTCATATATTTTCCTATATATTTGCTACAGTTTCCAAATTCTTTCCCGAGGCAAAAGTTTCCTGTGATCAACAATCTGCGTAAGCTCGCAAATTCCAGGTGGGGGAGCCCATTCAGCCACCCTATGCACTACTGCCTTATCACTTTGTTTCTCTGTGGCTGAATATGCCTGCACCATCTGGGTATGCTCAAGTCACAGTAAACATATTGACACCACCCTAAATGATGCATGCAGAATTATAACAGGCTGCCTAAAACCCACCCCTTTTCCCTGCCTATACACACTATCTGGCATAGCACCCCCTTACATCAGGAGGAAAGTAGCAGGTGATACTGATGGGCAGGTACAAGAGTCAGATGACAACCACCCACTATATGGATATCAACCACCATCATTTATCATCAAGAAATAGTTTTTTGCCCCCTACCATACCACTGACCACACCGAAATCACCCTCTGGCAAAAAGAATGGGAGAAACTGTCGACAAACCTGTTGAATGGAGCCAGCAAGGAATTACCCGCAGCGAGGAGTTAGAATCCAACTCCTGTTACAAATGGCATACACTGCGGAGGCTGAACAGATTAAGGGTGGGTCTTGGCAGATGCAATTTTCTCATGAAATCATGGGGCCCCTATGCAACCGACCAGTGTATTTGTCAGGAGAAGCAAACCGTGGGTCATCTCCCGAGATGCTCTGTAGCATAGCAATGCACCGCACAAGATCCGGCAACACCAACACAAGGAGCAATGGCCTGTGCAGAATATTGGGAGCAGACCATATAGAAATATTAGACTGGGGACACGACAAAGACAATGGCAACTTCTTGGACACCATGTCTTGCTGTCAGCCATGGTTGGAAAAATCCCCCCCAATTCTGTGCGTTTTATTTGGGGGTGTGCTGTATTCTCAGTGTGTGATAAAATACGGTACCTAACATTTTGATTAAGATGTTTCAAGAAACCACAATACCTAAAGATTACTTAAATGCATAAGTGCTTAAAACAAATCAAATACAATTCAATTACTATGAAAATATCTAAAGAAAATACCTACCTTCATCCACTGTAAACTGGCAACTCTTGTCATTGTAGAAAAGAATTTTCTTCTTATCAGGGCGATTAACAAAGATGATCTGGTCCCCTAAAGCCTCAACCACAAATGAAACAAAATGAAATAAAATCATAAATTGCATGCAATTTATGGTATCTCCATTTAAACAATGGATAAATGACTTCTTTGCAAGTAAGGTCCAGGGAAGGCACAACCATGGCATGGCACAGACAGCCTTTTCCTGATGTTGAACTTACAGTGCCCCAGATATTTAAAAAGCTGCTGTGCAACTGGGAGTCCTAGCTTAACATCCATCCACCTTTAAGATCCCTGGGAGCTCTAAGACAGACATAAGGGAGAAGCTCTCTGATGTGGGCTTGCAGTACCCAGCACAGTGCAGCTGGGGATGGGGGGGGTATCCTCTACTGCATGTGTTGGATTAAAGAGGCACCTGGAGGAAACAGAAGGGAATAGGGGAGGTCCTCTATCCTCAACCACTTGCACCCATTTAAACAGGCATGTGCAGCTGAGGATGGGAGAAACTCCCTCATCCCCAGCTGCACACCCATTTAAAGAAGCACCCAGCATGCCAGATCTGACCTCCAGGGCTACCTCTGGGGACTGAGCAGGGGGCTGCTGGGTTTGGGACTGGACAGGGGGCAGCTCTGTTCCCAACTCCAGGGCTGTCCCGTGCAGGATCTTGACACTCAACTGTGTGTCAGGATCTGGCACCACACAACCGCAGTCCTGATGCTCAGACAGGGGATGGCTGTGTCCTGGACCCAGGAGCTATCCCACACCCAATTACGATGCTCAGCTGAGAGTCTGGATAGGGCATAGGGCATCAGTGGGAGCCACATGTTCAATTTAAAAAACAATGCAAGCCAGCCAGAAAAAAAAGATGTTCCAAGTCATACATGAAAGGCTTTTTGTGGCTGGTTTCTTATTTTATTGTGCCTTAAATTGACTGAATGCATGTCAGAGTTACTATCTATGGTAAGATTAACACAAGAATTGTGCCATAAATGTAATCTGTGCCAGAGCCCTAAGAAACAGAAGATAACATTTTCTGGTCGTAAAACCAGTAAACAAGAAATTCAGCCTGATCCAGAAAGCTAGAAACATTAGTTACCTTATTTGAATCCCAAGATTTTTATTTTGCTTTAAAGAAGATTAATAGAAATGTCAAAAGAGCTGCTGGCAGCACTGCTTGCTTTTGGATTATGGGTGGCAGAACTTCTTACAAAAAAAGATTAAGTTATATGTCTGCTCATAACACTGATGCTTTGCTAGCTCAACCTGAAGGAATTTCAAAGGAAAGATGCCGAAATAAAAAGCTGAAATAAAAATCTGGCAGCAAAAAAATGTCTATGTTTATTACAAAACAAAAGAATACTAGAGCTGAAGCCACAGCAAAGAATTAAGGTCAAGGATCCCATACATTTTTCATGTCAAAACCGTTTCAAAACTTCCAGCTTATGCTGGAGATTCAAGAGAAAACAATATTGCAGGAATCTGTGACCGCTGTGGAGGAAACCTAATCTCTTAATAAAGTCTTGCTTTCAGAAGTGAGAACATGGTTTATTAGAACAATCAGATCCTACTGAAGTCTTGATCTTTAGAATGTAGGAACTATTTTTTTTTTATGTTTTTGAGTGTTGGCTTTTTGGCAGTAGCATACTCTACCATAATTTTTAATGTAAATTTCCTAGGAATGCATCTAAAAGGAAAAAGAAAAATCTATTCTATTTAAATCTGGGATCTTTAGCATTGACCATCAACACTTGGAATGAAAGGATCAGCCACAATAGCCAGCAGGTAAGAATAAGTTGTTCTTCTTTGGAGATGCATCACTAGCTGAAAAAGCTAGAAACCAGATTTAACTAAACTAAAATAAATGACTCTTGACCCAAAATGACTATGTCTACATATACATTTGTAGCAGCTGAATTTGACTAATTTATGAAGATATCTTTGGTTAAATGCATGCAAATAGGTGTACAGATGCTCAAGCTGAGCAACATGACTTAAGTCCGGTAGTCTTCAGGAGACTGTCAAAAAGATGTGCAAAGTGTATTTGGTTATTTATTTTTAATTTCTTTAATTGCAAGCTTTCGGGCACAAACACCTTTCATCAGGCACTGGAGTCAGCTATGAACTGACTGCCTAGAGGAGTTTTCCATCTATTGACTCCTCTGTGAAATCCTATGAAATATGAACTTTCATTTCTACCCAGGAGGACTTTTACAATCTTTTCTCCAATGCCTGATGAAGGGAGTTTGAAAGCTTGTAATTAAAGATTTTTTTTTGCAAAAATCTTGTTGGTCTAATAAAAGATATCTCCTTTACTACAAACCCTGATTGCCTTTTTCCCCCATGCAGGCACATTGTATATGATTAAGCCAACTCATATGATAAGCTAAACAGATCAAGCTCCTTGTCTTGCAAGTAATAGATGTTACTTACCTTTATAGCTTTTTGTGCGTTGGGCAGCCCTTCCTCAATATCTTCCAATAGGATTCCTCCCAGTCCTCGTTGGTCATGCTTGTCCAAAAGCCTGAGCAGAGCCTTTTTATCTTTCAAATTGTACTTGGGCTTGAAAGCATATTTCCCATCTACAACTTCTATTTTGGGATTGTTGACTAAAGCCTGTAATAGGGACATAAGTTTTAAACTTAAGGTGAAAAAACAGGTAGCTTATCTTACTGAAAATAAAAACATGTCAGCTGGCAATGATACCATATCAGCAACATGTTGTGGCTGAAAGTTAACAAGTTTGATTTTGAACTGGATTTGGAATCCAGCACTCAGATCCAGTTTAGGTAGAATTCATCACCAATGTGTTGTTTACATTACAAAACAGGGAAGTGCCATTTATGAAAATGCCTCTGGGCTGGTAGATCCATAAAGCCACTCACGGAACTTGTGCTAGTAAAAGCTATAAATACTCCCTTTCAGTGACAGTGATCAGAAAACAGAACCAGGAAATATTAAAAAGATTCAACTGAATACAAAATGCAAACAGACTACTCAAAATACTAAACTGATTTCATACTGATATCACACATGTGAAAGACATTACCCTGAGATGAACAAATCAGCTGTTTGTCTTCCCCAACTGGTGTCAACCAGCACCAGCAGTTGTAGAAGAAATTGAGAAGAGAAGTCCTCCTGCACAGTAGGACTTTACCTATGATGCCAGCTTCAGAGTGAAACTGATCAGGGGTTCATGAATAACTAACATTAAAGTTATGTTCCTAATCAGTTTTGCTGTGCAGCCAGTACGAGGCAATTAAAGTTCTTTTGCAACAGAGAGCAACCCTACTTAGTTTCTTCTGCAGCTGCCAGCATGACCCTGAAAGGAGAAAAAGAAGAGAGGCAGAAAGAAGAAAGGAGGGAAAATATAACTGTAGTAGGAAAGAAATCTAATGTTGGTAGCCTAACAAAATCTCAGGTTGGATAAACCAGCTAAATTACTGGACTGTCATAAGTTGCCTATTAACAGGCTACTTTGCTGTTATGCATTTGTTCATTCTTTATCATCACTTATCAATTCAATGACAATTTTGTACAAATTTTATTCTCCTAGTTCAGTTATTTCTTTGTTTTTCTCTTATGTTACAATGCTTAAAGGGTTAGAACCTTTACAAATTTTTGCAGCAAGGCCAAGATTTCATTGTAAATATTTATTTTGGGCTTTCTGCAAGTCTCTCAAATTAAACAAGAGTATTAATTCCAAAGGAGTGTTGCAAGATATTTTTGTTCAAGCCATGTTGCTATTACTACATAGAGCCTTTTTAATGTAGCTGTAACATTTGCTGATAAGCTTTGTTCCTATATTTATAATACAGTCTATTAAATAAAACTATAGCTAATGCTGTATTTACCTGAATCCAAGATGATTCAATTTAACTCCCCCACCCCGCAATAATTCTATGGAAATAAAATTTAATTATTGGGGGGTTGTCTTAAATCCAGATGGAATATTCTATGGAAAATTGATGCATTTCTTATCATTTTCTATGTGTGGAATCTAATTATAGAAGGGCCATCTTAAACTTGTCCCCCCCACTGTCCCTCCCCTTACTGCAGCAGGGCAAGCAATGGCATGGGGGCAGGTGGTGAGGGAGTCAAATGGTCTGACCCTTGCCCTCCCAACAACTTGATGCTTGCTTTCTTCTCCCCACCACTGCCCGCCTTCCCCCACCCAGTACCTGCCTGCTTCAGCACCTTCCCCCCCGGGACACCTTGTCTGCACACACTGGCGCCTACCCCACTGCCTGGCTCACCTTGCTGCCCAGCCCTCACCCCCCACAGCTGCTGCCTCTGTCCCACCACAGCCCCTGCCACCACTTCCCATTGGGCTCCAAAGTATTTCTAGCCCCAGTTCAGCCTGGGGCACAGAGTACATGGTTGCTTTGTCCCAGGCTCAGTCATCCAGCAGCTGTTGCAGAGGTGGTGAGGGTGGGCACCAGATGTGGCTCTAAATCTAGACCTGACTCAGGGCCAGAGTTGGAGCTGCAGCAGCCACCTACGTCCCCCTTCCGCCCTGCCAACTTGTACTTGGATCCATGATGAGGCCCTTTGCCCCCACTCCTCCCAGTTAAACGGGGAAAAACCTTGTCTTCAAATTGAGTAAATATGGCACTCATCTGATATTAAGTGTGTTAGGTGGAAAAGAAACAACTTGGTTAAAACCTTTGTTTCCATAAAAAGAAAAAATGTATACAATGAAACTGATAAACACCAAAAAGGTAAATCCTCAAGTACTACTACTGTTCTGTTCTTAACTCATTGAATTACTGTAAGTCAGGGGTTCTCAAACTTTGTGATAACGCGACCCCAAGTGCTGGATGGTGGCAGCGGAGGATGGGGAGCTCGCAAGTGGCAGGCGCCGCCCCCATCCACCCCTCTGCACCACCACCATGGCACACCACTTCCTCATGCCACCACACGTATCCCTGGGAAGTTTGCAGCCCCCTTTTAAGTTGCTCACGACTCCCCGGGAAGTAGCGACCCAAAGTTTGAGAGCCCCTGCTATAAGTGAAAACTGTAAACCTCTCGAACAATAGTTAGATATAAATGTACATGTTATTGCACTAGGAATCCTTACTAAGGTGAATTTGAGATCTTTAAATATTTAATCAGTTTTGCATTCAACACATGAACCTTAACATTATTTGAAAAATATTGGCTGATTGTATTTCATCAATAACAAATCATTTAACTTTATACCAAGATTACTGTTTACATGACATTTCTGTACACTTTTTCATGACTTTACAAAAAAACTTCAGTTTCAGAGCTCTCACTACCACAGCAGAGGTTTTGTGAAAATAAGGATACTTTTTTTACCAAAATTCTTATAGCTAGGTTCACAGAGTTTATCATTAAGCAAATATGTACAAATCAAGTTAATTATTCTTCTTCACCGGCCTCTCGTTAAGAGTCTGAACACTTGCTTTCTTTACCTCGCTCATTAACCATTGCTTCTGCTTGAGACCAATATCTAAATGTTGCGTTTCATCCAAAATTTCTTCTAGAGTTAGTGGATGCGTATCACCACGCTGGTGCCGTGTCTGGTAAAATAAATACAATATTAGAACTGGACTACGTTCTAAAGTATGAACTTAGTAGTAGTGATTAAGATGGGAAGCTTTGCAGCAAGAAAAAAAAGGAGGCCGACTCATCATTTTAGTTTAAAATTGAAAAAATAATCAGAATATACAATATTTGAATAATATCTACTTTCTGTTGAGTAAATATGTTTCTATTTTACAATAAATATTGTTCAACACTATTCAATATAGCAAGCTGCAATGCAAAGCACCAAATACATGGAGATTACTTATTCAGTTACAGATGGGTGGGCAAAGACCATAATGTGTTGTGTGGGCAGTAGAAAATAAATAAATAAATAAATAAATAAATAAATCTATTCCCAAAATGAACTCTTAATCTTAGGCCCCAATTCTGAACAGTCACACAAGGCTGCTCCAATCAAAAGCAGAGCCCACATGCACAACCCAGCTTGCAGGCTGGGAACCTGGGGTTAAAAGCTCTTTTAAAACCTCTCCCAACTATGCAGCTGGCCCAATAAAAGGTATTACGGCCCCCACAAAATCCCTGCCGCAAGCAAAACCATATCATTTCAAGCAGGGATTTACAACAATGGATAATCCTGGTTTTAAATTTTTCAGATGAAAGGTACAATAAAAGGTAGAAGTGATTTAACTTAACTACAAATCAATTGTTAGGTCCAGTCTGTAGTGTGGCAGGTATCTGAAATTTGTGCTGGTTGGCTTTAAGGACCAAAGAAGTCTTTTTCTCCTGAGGAATGCTACTGGCATTTAGGTGGTTTTGTTGGCCCCAGTTTTTGGCCTTGACATCCCCAGTGGTTTTGGCGATTGAAAGGCTGCTTGAGGATGCAATGCTTGCTTTGACTAGGAGTCAGGAGGGAAGTATCTGGACCTAGTAAACTCTTGACTCTGATGATGACGTGACCTGCATTCACTGAGTGGAGTAAGTTCAGTAAAGATCCCTGCAGTGGTGCGAATGGTAACAGTGGTGAGCTGCTCACTTCCTGACATGATCCGATAGCTGATTGGTTATAAGAATGATTGATGTACGATTGGTACTGCTCCTGACCAATTAATTGGACACTTGAGTAATTGACAGGAATGGTGGGACCACTGAGAAAAAAAAAGGAGTTTGCATCTGTGGGGCTGGGTTGGGTTCGCTTGGTGTGCGTCTGCGGGGAGCTTCTGCGAGTGCAGGTGTCTGAGGTATGGTGAGAGATTGTCTGCCAGCATGACGTGATCAAAAGTTGGGGTGTGAGTCTGCCTGGCTGGTTGCTGGATCGATGAAGACTCTGAGGACGGAGCCTTTGGAAACCGGATCTCAGCGCAGGAGACCAACCCGCAGCATCACCAGAAGGAAAGTAAAGTATTACCCCACCCTCAGTTATGGAGAGCCAAGTAACTTAAAGCGATAAGGCTGAGAGAAACTCCACAAGGGGGAAGGAGGGAGCAAGGGCAGCTCTGGTCCACTGACAAGCTGTGACATAGATCAGTGAGCAAGTGCCAGCCATCTGGTGGAGCACAGGTCAGAGCCATTCAGCTCTTTGTGCGTTTGTGCTACTCCGACTGCCTGTACTCTAGTGTCCATAGACTCCATGTATATAAATTAATAATCTGTTAACCTGTCACGTTCTTGTGTTCATTTTTGCCATTTGTATTACAATATATTCTTGTTAGCTAACAACTTAAGTCTCCGGTGTGTGTGTGTAAGCAATTTCAAGCACTTAGTGAAGTCAGTCTGTAGCCTAGTACTAGGCGTTATAGCTCCACAAGTCCACCATTCTCTGGCTGGGATTCTTAGATTGACTTATTAAATTAAGAGAATCTCGGCCCTCTTCAGTTTTCCTGCCTTCCTCTGGAACACTGGGTAATTGGCCACAGCTAAGGCTGGAAGGATTTTTGGGGGGGGATTGGGGTTTTTTTTTTAGTCTGGGAGGGTCACACTGATGCTCCTGCCAGTCCTTAGAAAACTTGGAGATTCTTGACTGGAAGATCATACTCTTCCAAAGCTCAATTGCTATATTTAGGGCCAGGAAAGATCCAAAGAGACAGTTCAAATGTACTGGACAACATAAAAGTGTGCTATGAGACTGAAACTGGACCTGCCCTTGGTGATCAGAATTGAGGTGACTTAAATGGCTTTGCTAAAGGAATATGTATTTACACACCTGACATCTGCAAGGCACTCACCTCTGTCACTATAGAGTAGAATGAGGGGTCTCTCTACATCTAAGCATGTGTCTAAGCAGTGACTCAGCTCTCAAATAATAAAACTTTGGGGAAAAGTAGCTGTAGACACCTGCATCTGAAGTTAGTTTACCTGGAGATGAGTAAGCTATCATTTTAGCCAGAAACTTGGGATGAGATTGCAAAAACTTGCCTGTGTGAAAAACAGTACTGAAGGTTCTACCATCAACACCAGACTGCCACCAAGAATGCCATCTTCATAGATAGGTAAATCAACAGGCAGTTTGCTATAGGTTCAAAAGACAGTCCTATTAGGTTCAGGTCCCAACAGGGAATGGGATCTTGCAGTATGGGATCTTTGAGTAATTTCAGGACTGCCCCAGGGAAGAAGACAGACTTTTACCACTGGAGGACAGTGAGCTGAGATGGCAAACAAAGGCTCTTTAAGTGGTCTTACAAACTGAATGGTCTCTGCCATCAGTGAGAGAACCATGCAGAGTCCTATCTTGCTGTTCATAGCACTCATGGGATCATGTGTGGAAGGACCTTCCTAGAACATGGAACAAGAAATGCAGCAGAAAGGAGCTGGGGCTAAGCTCTTGCCCCTGGTGCAGAAGGAATGATACAAGTCTGTCTAGTGTACAGTGGTTCTGATCACCAGATAACCTTCAGAAAGAAGGGCAGCAAATGCATCCCACAAGTTCAGTGGTCAGATATCAGTAAACACAATAAGCAGCTAAGATACGAAAGTTATAATAGGCCAACAGGGCTTGTCTCTTAGCCATCCTGAACTACAACTAATTGAAGAAATGCACGCTCTCTTCAACAGATCCATCCTTTTGGACTCATCTTGGAGTGCTGTGGACATGTTTGTCTTTTAATTAACTGCAACAACAACAGAGGAAGATAATGTTCTGAGCAGGGAGATTCTTTGAAGTCAAGATAGAAGAATGGGTGCCTGAGTACCAGCTGGGTGGGAAGACCAAAGCCAAAATTGTCATAGTGGGGATATCTGGAGAGATTTCTGGAATGTCTCTGTTTCTTATGAGACATGAACATGTAGTCAAAACCCACGGTATTTGCTGGAACAAAAGGAAGAATGCGATAAGAGACATCGATCAGAAGTGCTGATAGACCCAGAACTGGACACAGGTCTATGTGTGTTGTGACTGATGGCTTGATGGCTGGTGCCATTATAGGCAGGGAAAGCAAAAGAAATTCTGGTTCCCATCTGCACAACCAAGTCACTCAGAACTGTGAACCACCAAAGAAACACAGGACACACTGGAACGGCTGGACAATGCAGAGGATGTTGGGGCTTACTATGTTTCAACAGAAATACTGGAGCTTAGCGATTCAAGACCATAGCCAGTCCCAGTTTGAGCAGATGGTAAAGGTGATGTGCCAAGGCAAATCTTAGGCAAGCATGCTTCTTGTATACTGTTAGCTGGCTCTGTGAAATTAGTGCTGAAACACTTCTGAGTTTTGTTGGGACCAACTCAAATTCATATTCTTAAAATGGGAAGGAGGCGGCGGTAGTAAAGCAGGTCTCCTTCAGGAATTCCAAGACGTGGACCTCTCTGGAACAGTCCCTGGATCTGAGCTCAGCAGTGATCCTTTTAGGGACAGGAGATCAGTGGCCTCTGATAGGAAAGTGGTATTGTGTGCAGACAGAAATCCAGCAGAGTCATGCACTCCGGGATAAGAAGCCAACTCCACCGATATGCCCAGGATGTAAGATCTGAATTCTGGCCTCCAGATCCCTTCGGTTCTAGGTGGTAAAAAGACTTGCAAATGGAGCGCACTCAAGAAATAAAAGGCATTTAAGTGTCCACCTATCATGAGCATAGTGCTATTACAAAATGGATATGATGTAAGACGTGCAGATCTTAGAGAAACCATAAGGACAAAGAAAAAAAAAGCTTTCTAAAAAACATTTCATAGGAAAAGAAGCCCTTGGAGAAGCAACAGAGAAAACAGGAGGTTTTATCATGCTGATGCACCAAGTCACAAAGATTCAAAATGGTCTCTAAAACTGCACTGAAGTGGGTCTCAAAAAAATACTTGGAAAAGTGGTTCATGAATCTCAGATAACGAGAAAATAGTTGTCATTTTTTATTTAAGTAATGAGACTTTCAGCCATCTTTCTGCTTTTAAGCAGAGCAACTATGAGCTGGAGTCACTAGGACATTAACATGGAAACATACAATGGCAATTTTCTTAATAAGGATGTTTTTTCATTTAACAAATCATTTTCATCAAATTATTTATCACTACTATACTTAAACATCAGTTTATTTAAATGTCTGAGATTACAAGTGGATAAATATAAGCATTTCAAAAGATTACGCTCAACATAAAACAACTTACCTTCATGTAATTCACTATCTTAGCAAGGACACCAAACTTGTAACCAGAGCCTCCAGAAAGGGCTTTCAAATTAAATGACCCATTACTGTGATCTACAAAAGAAACAAATCAAAACATTCTCAAATATATATATTAGTTTTACACTCAACCATTTTTAAATTATACATACTTCATTTATTTTTTGTTGCATCACCAAAGTTACAAATAGTGTAAAAATGGGTGTTCTCAGATAACTCTGGAAGAGATATTGGGCACCTTGGAAATATAGGCACCTAAGTAACTTTGGGGTTCTGGGCTATTATCCCTATGGGACTGCATAAATGCAGAACATAGGAAGACAAGGTTCTTTGGGTAAATATGATATTAACCAGTCTAGTAAAAGATATCGCATTTACCCAAAGAACCTTGTCTGCCTATGTCCTTAGACCAACATGGCTACAACCAACACACCCAGAACATAGGAAGGGGCTTCCTTGGCCATTAAGTCTAATGTCTTGAATTTCTAGGCAATCATTATCCAAAGAAATTCCCAAAATTAGGGGTGCACCGATAGAGAATTTTTGGGCTGATACTGATGGTCGATTTTTAATGAGCCATATCAGCTGATACCAATTCAATTCCAATATGCAGGTAGGCAGCATGAAGAGCTGTGTCCAGCTGGTAGATCTGTTGTAGGGGAAGGGTGTGGAGGGGGCAGATCGAGGCCCCTGTGGTGAAGGAGTGGGGCTGGCTAGGGTAGGGGTAGGCGCTACCAAGCCAGGGAGGGGGCAGAACAGGGGATAGCCGCGATTGGCTCACCCGGGGGGGGCCTCCCACCGCTGCATGCACCCTGAGAGGGCATGGGAGGGCGTGTGCCCTCAGATCTGCATACAGGGTGAGGACAGACTAGGGCTAGTGCCAGGCTCTTCCCAGTGCAGGGGTTGGGTCGGGGCTGTGCTCAGGGCGGGTGGCGACGGCAGCAGCACTGGGAGGGGACTATGGTGGGGGCTGCAGCCACCCCAAAATTTGCCATAGTTCCCCTGTAGCCCGCCTCCTAGCACTGTCACCACCCAACCCAAGCACAGACACCCCCCCC